CGCAATGATGGTGCCAACTTGGGCTAGTGAAGCAACGTCCTCCACAACTAGACTGAAGAACAAAACGACAGCAACTTGTCTGTTCCCATCCCCCCAATTCCCCAATTTAAAAAAAAAAAAAAAAAAGATCTACAGATGACTCACGTGGGCCTTCTGATAATGGAACTACTGATCCATTGCATACCTATTGTACCTGTACTATACTAGCAGAAATTGTGCTAGTAAGTTACAGAGCTAGAACTAGAATTTCAGTCTCCTTTTACTCAATATGATGGTTTTGAGTTTTATTCTTTACTGCTCTAATATATAACTAAGTTTCTGCTGTTGTCAGATAAGAGCAACAGAATACTGGAGTTAATGGGTCCATAAGAGTATAGCGCACCCAGCACTCTTCTTTGTCTAGACCTTCAGAAATGGGAAATAGCTGATTTTTTTTCAAGTTAAATGTATCTATATGTGCATCAAAATCTTGTAATAGCTAACAAATGAATTCATAAAACTGAAGAGCCAAAACATCTTAAAAAGTAATCACTACTTTCAACACTGTGGATATACTAAAAAGCATTGAATTATACACTCTAAACAGGTGAATTGTATGGTATGTGAATTATATTTCAATAAAACTGTTTAAAAAAACAACCGCAGTCACCACCATGATTCTCTGTTGTGATCCATAGTTTGTAGTCTTCTTATTGAGAAAAGGAAAGAAATTTGCCTCTCTCCAGGGCTCCCAGGTGATACCTTTCACTTGAATTGCATATCCATATGTACAGAATTAATTTTACCCAACATATGCTTGAAATAATATTAACCCATAACAAAAGAAATATAAGGACTTAGGTATGACCTTAAAAGTTATTAATATTTAGGATTTATAAAGTATTTTTATATCCATCGAGTATATGCCTTCCCCAGCTATCTTACAGAGTTAATATCTTCCACACATTACAAATGATGAAACTTCCTGCCTCTGTTTCTAACTGCCAGTTTCCACACTTATACCTATTTTTCCACATACAGCACAGATTGCCAGGGCTAGAAACGCTGAAGACATAAATCATTTGGCACTGCAATATTAGTATTGGATGAAAACCAAATGCAAGTGGCAAAATAACACATGGTGAACGCTTGGGCTATGTTTCTATGATGCCAGACAGAGTTGAATTAATTCTTTGAGAGGAGGTGTGAATACACATGTATAATGACACTTGAACACAACTGTGAGCAAAATATTTTGTCACATTCCCCTATGTTGTTAGATGTGGTCTGCCATCTGCCACCCTGGCATTGACTGGCTTAAAGCAGGACTCTGAGTAGCAGGACTTGCAACAGGGCACAGAGTTTTTCATTGAAACATCAGGTAGATTCTTGTGTGTCTGCTGTTTTTCATATGTGTCCTCTGAGGAATGATTTCTTTCACTGGAGATCATTGCGGGATAATTAGCATTACTTACTTGGTGGTGTATGAAGTAGTTGGTATGAAGTAGTTGTAAATGTCAAATTTTTTTTATCTGTTGTGATTCATGAAATTTTTTTTACTGAATCCTTACTGTTTATAAATCTAAGTTTATCAGGATAAACTAAGTTCAGTATACTTAGCTTAAGAAGGCAGGAAAGTGTGAGATAAAAATTGTAAAGGTTTCCATGCAAAATAACTAAAATTTAAAAGTCTCAGAAAATATTAAAAATATTAAATCATGTGGAAACTCACTACAATCCTAGACACTGCCAGATAAGTGAGGTTTTACTACAAAGTATGTAGATGTTTTCTTTTCATTCCTGGAAGAAGGAAGATAAAAATCATAAAAAGAGGGCCGGCCGAGTGGCGCGATGGTTAAGAACTCGCTTGGGATGCCAGAGGGCCCCGGTTCGGATCCCACATATGAGGGCCAGTGACACTGCCCTCCA